GGGGGGGGGGGGCACCGCCCTGTGCTGGTGGAAACGCAAAACCTTAGCCTGAGTATATGCATTTTTTACTTTCAAGTAACAAATTGTCTTTCTTTTTTCCTGTTCCACTCGTTTAGGAGAAATTAAAAGGTATCCCTTTCCCTGTCTCTTTCTCATTAACTCTCCTCACACGTCTCTCGCTGGAAGACACTCACAGTCAATAGGCCAAGTAACCAGCCGATAAGCACCAGCTGATAAGACCTCTCTCCCCTCTGAGACCAACTGAGTGGGGAGCAGGGGTCCTCTTTGCTGGTGTTTCTGTCCCTCATCAAGATGAAATTATCCGCCCCCCCCCGACCCCACGGCTCCTAAGCTATTTGTCAGCTGTAAACTTTAGGCCCTGTGCTCTACCTGGTCTAAGCCCACAGAGGTAAGCGTGCCCCAGGGGTACAAGCTACGACAGACAACAGCTGCTACGGCTTCAGTCCACTGTTTCAGGTCCATGGGGTCATCGAGTCACAGGATTCTAATTACCTCTGACGGCTGAGCTCAAGCGATCGGCCCAGGAATTTTACCTATAACGCTAAGTGCTCTGGATGCAGAACAGTGTTTCCCCCCAAACGCGGCCCCATTCTTATCTCAGGAGGGGTCCTTGCTAAGTGCCTCTGAGCTGATTCAAAATCTGAAATTCAAAATAAGAAGCCCGATGCCATCAAGGCCTGGCTGGAGGAGTTTCAGACTTGGAATCGGCTTGTAGGCACCTAAGCAAGAATCAGAGCCTCCTGGGAGAAGAAAGGGACCGTGTTTGAGGAACAACTCTATCCAGGTGGACCACACCCATGGTGCTCAGTGTTAAAAAAAAAAAAGCTAAGGGCTGCCGTGGCCGGTTTGGCTCCGTGGCTAGAGCATCGGTCTGTGGACTGAAGGGTCACGGGTTTGATTTCTGGCCAAGGGCATGCACCTCGGTTACAAGCACAATACCCAGCCCTGGTCGGGGCACATGTGGGAGGCAACCAATTGATGTCTCTCTCACATCGATGTTTCTTTCTCTCCCCTCTTTCCATTCTCTCTGAAAAGCAATGGGGGGGGGGGAGGGAATAGCCTCAGATAAGAATTTTTTTAAAAAGCCAAGGCCTGATGAACTCAACCATCAGAAATTACAGAATCCCACAACTTGATGGCTACATCACCTACCAAAGTGGACTGCATGGCAGGAGCCATCATCTGCCAGAGCAGCGAGGACCCTGCACCGATCTGATCCCAGAGCAGAACCCCTAAATTTCTTCTAAATTCTTCCCCCGTGAAGTAGAAAGGGCACAGGGGTAGATGTCAAAGGCCAGTGCTGTGTTCCCTGCTCAGCCGCTAGCTAGATGCGGGATTTTTAGGCCTCAATTTCTGCGTCTAGAAGTGGTAGGCCTGAATCAGACAAATTTCCCAACCCCTTTTGCATTCTAAAGTGTTATAGTAGCTGCCACTGAGAATGTCAGCAGGGGCTAAGATATTCGGACACGAGGAAAGGACACTAGATCCGCGGATCATGCCCCCAACGGGAAAGGCAAACACACACTGAGAAATGAATCTCCTGCCCGGCTGGCGTGGCTCAGTGGTGGAGCATCGACCTATGAACCAGGAGGTTACAGTTCGATTCCAGGTCAGGGCACAGGCCCGGGGTTTTGGGCTCGATCCCCAGCTGGGGGCGTGCAGGGGGCAGCCGATCCATGACTCTCATCATTGATGTTTCTCTCTCTCCCTCCCTCTCTCTAATATCAGTAAAGACATAGTAAAAAAAAAAAAAAAAATCTTGGACATTGTGAATCTCCTTCCCCAGTGGACTTCATGTGCAGTGTTTCCCAGGTGAGACAAAGAGAAAAGCTACTGAAGTAGATTTTTAATGTTGCCTCTTTTCGGGCCTTAAAGGCAACAAGCATGTTTTATAACAAATGTGGCTTATTACAGCCTTGCTCGTGATGCACATTTCTTGGATTAACTTTAAGTGTGATACACAAATAATACTAGTTGTGTATCTTCTGCAATCTGGAAAACAGTGAAAATCTCTGTTCAGGAAAGACGACATATGGAGAGACGGGCAGACACGCTTCCCTGAAGCAGTTAGCCAAGTGGTTTAAGATACGCCTTTCTTGATGGGGGGAAAAAAAAAATTTCATTTATACTAGAACATGCCTGTGGAAGGCAGAGATGTTCTCGGTTATTATCTTTTCCTAACTCCTATCGCAGACTTGGAATGAAAATGCTCAGCCTCCGGGCTAGTGATCCAGACACTCATGCACACACATATTATTATAAAAATGTTAATAACATTTTGCATTAACACAGAGGGTGAAGGTGCTTGACAGAGATGCTTCAGCTCATTAATCCTCAGGATATCCACGACACAGCCAGGGGAAAGGGGCCGTTTCCCAGCTCCTTCAAATGACAGAAAACCGCGTGGTTCGTGAGCAGTTTGCCCACATCTGTCTCGTGAACCGTCTGCAGGGCCTGATAGGACACAGAATCCTAACCTCAAGTCTGGACTGACGGACGCTACGCTCCTCTCCTGCAAAGACCACAGACCTCACTGCGCCAATTCGGCGTTTAATTCTCCCACACGTGTAGTCTGCCCGGGTCCTTCTCACGCAGGCAGCCCACGGCCACTGCCACGGGAACCACTGGACAAGTGAGGTGGCTGCCTGCTCACGGGCTCGGGCGGCTCTCCAAGCTTTCGCTTCCCGCTTTCCGCCTCACCCCTCTCCATGGGTCCCCGACCTTGGAATCTGCGTCTCAGCTCACCTCATGCTTTTACCCCGGTTCAACCCAATAACCTCACTGCGGTCTCACGTTTGAACTTGAGGGCTCCGCAGAGACAGAACCCCCAGGGAACGCCCCGCCTCCTACCCGCAACCTGCCCGTGAGGCGCGAGCGGGGGCTTTAGAACGTCGCTGGCCACGCCCTCAGCCTCGAGCCCTCTGTCCAAGAGACAGGACACATGTGAAGCCACGTGGTCGGTGACAAGAAGCCCTGGCCCCCTGAGGATCAGGGCCCCCCGAGTGTTCCCAGGACGACCCCAGAGAGCCCCCTCAGCCCTGCGGGGGTGCTGCGGACGTTACCATGAGGGCGGTGTAGGTGTAGGGATAGTGGTAGGCCAGGTAGCAGGCATCGTCACTGTGCGGGAAGGTGACGGCGAAGGTGAGGGTGTAGTAACACTTCCTAGACGCTCCCCCGGTGACGGCCGCGCTCTCGCGATAATGATTTCTAAGAGAGAAAGCAGAAGAGAGGAGTGTGAGGGGGCGTGAGGGAAACAGGCATTTAGGGTTCTCGGTGCTGCAAATTCCTCGCGTTATACGCCGGCCAAGGGGTCGCGGGAAACACTGTGCGCGTGAAACTTAGCAAACGGAGACGTGCGGGTGAGCTCACTGCCGGGCACGGGCCAGATCCGCCACGTCCTACGCGTGGCACACACACCACAGGCCTTTCCCTGCTGTGTCTGGGAATGAGGCTCTCGAGTCACTGAGACAGAAAACAGAGGGAAGCGTGAATGATTCTGCTATTGCAGACTTACGCTTTCTTACCCAAACTCGGGTTCCCGAACCT